CGAACTGCAAACAGGAGGTTCTTGCATTAGGCAGCATGGCCGTACACCTGCTATAACCACACCAAAATACCATGCTATCCGTATTATTCACAGGTCACCTACTTACTGCCCTGGAGATGGTTGCGTCGAAGTAGTGTGGTGTTCTTTACTCAAGGTACTTCGCGATTAAGACAATGGTTGTTCTCTTGATAGGTTTCGAACCCGGCCTTTCCGAATTTCAGTCGGTCTCTTTTCAGCTGTACCATTGCACCTCAATATATGTCTGTGTATATTTGTTTGTGCTTGAGCATGCCTTTAGTCGACCCAACTCAGTGTTGCAGTTGTACATGGATGCCGTGATGTTGTGTAGTAGAAACAAGGACGGTTGCGATTGAAGCAGGAAACGCAACGTGCGATGCCATATTGGGTTTTTCAAACACTCGGCATTGTTAGTAATCCCAGGGATGAAAAGTATGATGTATAAGCAGATGTATGACGGATCCGGTGACAGTGTTTTTGCTACTCGGCGCTGTTCTGGACTTAAGTGTTGACTAGGCGAAAGCGAAATTCTGTTATTCCAATGATAGGCGTTCACGACGTCCCGTTAGATATGTACTTATCCGTGAAATAAAACGCAAAGTATCACTAAGATGACTGCCATAGAGACTGCCGAAAAAAAAACATATTGAACAAAATCGAATGGTGCTTTTGACTGTTACCGGATCTTGAAAAGTGCGAACAGACGACGAGTTGCGGGCTAATGAGCGTTACGTGGTAAGAGTTATTATTTTGCTTCCGCCGCAGCTACGAGTTGGTGTATTTCGACGGGGTATGCTTCCTTAAATACTACTGCGCTAATGCCTGCTTAAGTGGCACCCACGGACTGCTAGAAGCAATGGGGAGTGTAATATTGCTGTAAAATCTGGCTTAAGGACTTCCATCCATTATGACTGTATTTGTGTAAAGTAAGAAGCTCGTTTTACAGTGTCAGCTGATCAACGAGAGTTACGTAATGAGGGTATCCATTTTGCTCTGGGCT